CAGGTCGAGGCTGCGGTGGCCGGGAGCGGCCACTGCACTCCAGTCTGGGTGACAGAGTGAGACTCCAACTCAATAAAAAAAAAAAAAAAGCTGGGAGCAGTGGCTTATGCCTGTAATCCCAACACTTTGGGAAGCCTAGGTAAGAGGATTTCCTGAGCTGGTTCAAGACCAGCCTGGGCACCTTGGCGAGACCTCAACTCTACAATAAATCAGAAAATTAGCTGGGTGTGGTGGTGCATGCCTGTAGTCTCAGCTCTTTGTAACACTGAGGGGGAAGGATGCATGAGCCCAGAAGCTGAGGCTGCGGTGGGCGTGAGCGTGCCACCGTACTCCAGGTTGGGTGACAGAGTGAGAGTCTGACTCCAAAAACCAAAATAGCTATAAACAGAATGGAACAACAAAACTTTAGACTCCCGAGTATATAGGAGAGAAGAGAATTTATTAGGGGGGAAAGAACAAAACAGTCTCTTGTGTTTGTTATAACTCTTGAGTGTGTTTCTTAATCCACAAAACAAAGAACAGTATGCTGGTGAAAATAGTGGAATTCGGTCTAGAATTCTGTTCCAATCCAGTTTCTCGCTTGTAGTAACTGTGTTATCTTAGGTTACTTAATCTGTCCCTCAGCCTTTCTTTCCTTGTGCTATGTAAAATGTAGATGATACCTATCTTGTAGTGTTTGTGTATGTGTGTGTAGACCGCCAGGGAGGTGAGAGAGAATTGAATGCGATGAAATGATACATGGAAACTACCCGTCCCAGAGCCTGGTATATAGTAGGCACTCAACAAACGATTGAGGCTTCTTTTATTCTCAGCAGTAACACTTAACAGAGCATGGGTGGAAGACGTGTTCCTTTTGGAAACACGTTTTGACAAATCAAGAGGGATATTTGGCATTGGCTTTCATGTGAAAGAAGATGGCATTCCAGGGCACACAATTATCTTTGAGGACATTTTTATCCGGGCGCAAGAGGTAAAGCCACGCTTATCAGCTGGATCGCACGGTTTGGCTACGGGTTCATGTTTTCTTCTTCTTTCTTTCTTTTCTTTTTTTTTTTTGCTGTGGTTGATTTTCATGCTGAACATGAAGGGGTTAAGAAACACCCTTACTCATGTTACACAAAGTGGCAGAAATCATCAGATGGAAAGAGGAATTGGGAAAGGAGGGGAAAAAAACCACACAAGCTCTGCAGCCAGTCATGGTGTTCTAACCCAGGAGGCCCGAGTTGCGTATACCTTCTGGCAGTTTAATCAGATCAGAGTGACTCAAGGGTGGGGACAGCCGGGAGGGACCGGACCGGCCGCCGGCGCCTTTAACCGAAGCCCGAAGCCGCTCAGACTGGAATCGCCCCGGGTTGAGACAATACTCCCAGCCGCGGCTTCTGATTGGACCGCAGGGAAGCCCTCGCGGAGAGACCCCGCCCCCTGTCAATCGCCAGCCCGGGGGGGCGGAGCTGGCCCATGCTAATGAGCGGAGTTGCCAGGCGAGGCAGGAACTTGTCTCCCCTTCTCTGGGTCGGGAGCGCAGGCATTATGCCCCTTCTCTCGCCATGAGCTGGCTCTCCAGTTCCCAGGGAGTGGTGCTTACTGCCTACCACCCCAGCGGCCAGGACCAGGCCGTGGGGGGCAGCCATGCCCAGGGGGGCGAGGAAGCCACCTCGAGGTAAGCCCTGGCGTCCGAAAGCCAGGAGACCAAACAACACCCTCTTACCTGCCCCGGGAAAGAGGTGACAGGGAAGTCGGCGTGGGGAGCCGGGAAGTCCCCTCTGCACAGCGAACCTCCCTCGCCTCCCGCAGCCGCAGAGCTGTTTGGCGGGGTTTGGATGGACTTCTCCTCCAGTCCCAGCCTGACACAGCCCATATGATTACTGGGGAAGACAGGAAGGGACTGGGGACCGGGCTGTATCCTGGGCTCTCCGACTGGCTGCTGAGCAGGTGCCTTTGCAAATGCTGGAAGATCAAATGACGATGCTGGAAACACTTCCTGTGAGATGGAATTCTTGAATGGGCTCAAGGCACGGCCCCTGGAACTGTTAGTTGGGAGAGTCTGCCAAAAACCAGGGAGGCTGTTCACTGTACAAGCTGTTGTTGTCAGAGTGTGTGAGTGTGTGTGTGTTTTCCCCTTTCCTTGCTGAAAGCAAGCCTCTTAGGCAAGAAGCCCCCAGACACTGGCCTGTGGCAAGTATGTTTCACATTCTTTTGTGTATGTGGATTTTTTTCTCCCCAGGCTTTCAGGAAGGAGTTTTTGTCAGGAGATAGTACTCTGGGGCTGGAGTGAAATGTGGTTAATGTTAAATCACTTTATAGGCAGAGAGGGCAAATGTTCTATAGACCACTGAGGCGCAAAGAGTAGCTTTCTCCCTATCTGTGCACTTTGTTCTGTTTTCCAAGGCCTTTTTTTTTCCTTTTCCCCTTAATGACCTTCTCACTAGCTGAGTGTTTTTACCTCCAGTCTAGATATAAATCGTAAACATTGACCTAGAAGATTGCAAAAAGCACATGCTAACCTAATAGCCGAGAACACTGAATTAGTTATCAGTAAGCACATTTCCTCCTCAGTACTTGATGTGATAATAAAACCTTCTTTGTTCTTATGTGACTTACGCCTATGCCTTAGGCTGAAATAATGCCTTCTTTCATTTGTTTTAAAATCCCCAAATATGAGGGAGGAAGGAAAAGAAAAGGAATGGCTGTTAATACTCTGTTAGCTGCCCAGGCTGGCCAGAACTGTTTTCTCACATGGCATCCACACCGCAAGTATTTCATTGAATGAATTAATTTCCAAAGATAAAAGGGAATGGCTGCTTGCGCGTTGGATGTGTTGCCATTTTCGTCTCTGTTGTCTAAGTATTTTCTGTGAGAGATTGTGAAACGCTTTCATCCACTTTTCTGTAAGAGTACTCACGAATTAGTCATTTTTCAGCAGTAAGCAGCCTGCAACACCAGCCCGTACTGGCCTTGGATTCCACACAACAGTCAAAATTGCCATAATTGTGCAGTGTCAGCACTTTCTCCAGTGACTTTAGGCAGTCTCAGATCCGGATTGTGAAGAGTAGAAATAACCTCAGGGACTGTGAGTCCAAACCTCTCCTTTTCCCATAGGAGTCAAGTCCCAGGGGTTGACTGTTCGGTTGTCACAAGGTCTGGTGTTCTAGGCCTTTGCCTGGGTCTGCACATCCGGTTCTAGAGACTCCTGATCTGTGTTTGCAGTTTTGCAGCTTGTTGTGGGTGGCCTATGCTTGAGTGGGTTGAGAGCACAAGACCCAAGAGGTACTAAGGTGTCAGGGTGGGGAGCTGCCTATACATGAGTGGGTTCAGAGTTGTAGGTTGGCTTCCAGATGCCTCCCCTGTTGGTTGCTATATGGCCTGTCCTGGTCAGCCCCAACTCCCACCATTGAGTTAGTCCTAGGGATCATTATTTATATTGGCTAGATAAGATGGGAGCCTGGCTTGAGGGCTGGGAGGAGGAATAGTCCTCCTTAAGCATGGAATACTTTATCAGATTAACTTATTGTTTACTTTGGAAGGTACCCTGTTGAGCTGGAAGGATTAAGATACCAGAATCTGTGTGGGCTTGGATGGAATGAGAAGAGATTTGAGGGTGTAATGGGGTGGTAGTGATCACCTGAGGAGGGTGATGGGGGGTTACACAGGACTTTGGCTGGGTTGTTCAGCTGATGTTTTAAGCATCAGGAAGCCGCTGCAGGCTACAAGGTTGATGGTTGATGTCTATTTTAAACATTTCTCCACAAAATGAAAACAACATAAAGTTCTTCAAAAGAGTATAATAAACTCTGCATTCCCTCCTGCCTATTTAAAAATTGAAGAGAAGCCAGGCTCGGTGGCTCAGCCTGTAATCCCGCACCTTTGGGAGGCTGAGGTGAGTGGATTGCCTGAGCCCGCGGGTTCGAGACCCGCCTGGGCAGCGAGACCTCATCTCTACAATAAATAAAAAAATCAGCCGGGCATGGTAGCGTGTGCCTGTAATTCCGGCTACTCGGAAGGCTGAGGTGGAAGGATCGCCAGAGCCCAGCAGGGGAGGCTTCGGTGGCCTGGGCGACAGAGTGAGACTCCAACTCAAAAAAAAAAAAAAAAAATTGAAGAGAGGCGAGGTGAGGTTGGCTCATGCTTATAATCCCAGCACTTTCAGAGGTCAAGGTGGGGAGATTTCTTGAGCCCAGGAGTTCAAGACCAGCCTGGGCAACATAGTGAGACCTTGTCTCTACAAAAAAACCAAAAAATTAGCTGGGTGTTCTGGCTACTCAGGAGGCTGAGGCAGAAAGCTCTCTTGAGCCCAGAGGTGGAAGCTGCAGTAAACCCTGCTTGTGTTACTGCATGCCAGCCTGTGGTACAGAGTAAAAAACAAACATCTGGGTGCGGTGGCTCATGCCTATAATCCCAGCACTTTGGGAGGCAGAGGCGAGAAGATTACCTGAGCCCATGGGTTCGAGACCAGCCTGAGCAACATGGCGAGACTTCATCTCTACAATAAATTAAAAAATCAGTCAAGTATGCTGGCACATGCCTGTTGTTCCAGCTCCTTGAAAGACTGAGGCAGAAGGATCACCTGAGCCAGCAGGTTGAGGCTGCAGTGGCTGTGAGCGTGCCACTGCACTCCAACCTGGGCGACCGAATGAGACTCCAAGTCAAAAAACCAAACAAAAGTTGAAGAGAGAGCACAGCAATATAATTTTTCCTATCCCCAAATTCTGTCTCTCTAAATAGTTCATCAAAGTACATATTATTTAATGAAATATTTAGTTCAGGCCGGGCGTGGCGGCTCACACTACAAGTGAGGCCGAGGTGGGAAGATTGCTTGAGCTAGAGTTCAAGACCAGCCTGGGCAGTGCCTGGAGACCCCATCTCTACCAAAAATAAAAAAAATTAGCCAGATTAAGATACCACAATCTGTGGGCATGGTGGCATATATACCTGTAGTCCCAGCTACTCGGGAGACTGAGATGGAAGGACCTCCTGAGCCCAGGAGGTCCAGGCTGTAGTGAACCATGATCGTGCCCCTGTACTCTAGCCTGTGGGACAGAGTGAGACCTCAAGAAAAAAAGTTCAGTGCAATGAACTCATGTATATATAATGCCATTCAAACTGTGTAAAGGGTTATCTGTTGTATATGACTTGAGATAGTTATAGAAAGTGTTTGCTTGTTAGACTAGCCTTACCAAGTCCTTTTTTATTGTTGTTCTGGTCTTTTAAAAAGCAAGGATAGTGGGGAATTAATTTTTTCAGGCTGGTATCAAACCCCTGAGCTCAGGCAATCTTCTCGCCTCTGCGTCCCAAAGTGCTGGGATTATAGGCGTGAGCCACTGTGCCTGGCCAGAGTTAATTTTTTTTTTTTTTGGAATCATAGTCTCACTCTGTCGTCCAGGCTGGAGTGCAGTGGCATGCTCACGGCCATCACAGCCTCAACCTACTGAGCCATCCTTTTGCCTCAGCCTTCCAAGTAGCTGGAACTACAGGCATGCACCACAGTGCCTGGCTAATCTTTTGATTTATTGTAGAGATGAGGTCTCACTAAGTTACTCAGGCTGGTCTCGAACCTGTGGGCTTAGGCAATCCTCTCACCTCGGCCTCCCAAAGTGCTAGGATTATGGGCGTGAGCCACTATGCCTGGCCGAAATTAATATTTTTGTAAGTAATCTGTTAGTCTAAAATTCCCTCCATTCCATTTATGCCTCTTTATCAAAATATTCATTGGATACCAGATTAAGGAATTCCTCCCACTCCTGGTCAGAGCCTCTCAAATATTTATAGGATCCTGTTTTCATTTCTTTTGTAATGTTTCATACTCAAAATATCAGGATTTGAAGCAATATGTCAGCATTAGTTGTTCTGCCTGCCTTCTACACAGATGTTTCCAAAGGAAACCACTTTTTATGAGTTGCTATATTTGTAAGACTTCATTTACTTGTTTTTCAAGCAGGCTTCTTAATTTTTACTTTTGAAAATTTTTCAAGCAGTACTGCATTTTGTTTATTCTGACTGTTCTCAACTTTTCCATTATTTTAAGAAAAGCAGTTCATTGCTTTGTGTTTTTTTGCAGATATTTTAATATTAATGTCAAGTGATATTTTCTGTCTTTATTGGACCTTTTAAGTCTTTTTTTTTTGTTTTTTTTTGAGTGGGAGTCTCACTCTGTCGCCCAGACTGGAGTGCAGTGGCCGCTCCTGGCCACCGCAGCCTCGACCTGCTGGGCTCCGGCGATCCTTCCACCTCAGCCTTCCAAGTAGCCGGAATTACAGGCATGCGCTACCACGCCCGGCTGATTTTTTTATCTATTGTAGAGATGAGGTCTCGCTGCCCAGGCGGGTCTCGAACCCACGGGCTCAGGAAATCCACTCACCTCAGCCTCCCAAAGGCGCGGGATTACAGGCTGAACCACCGAGCCCGGCTTTTAAGTCTTTAAATAGGTTGAAGAATGAGATTTTTTTAAATGTCTGTTATGAGTAAATGTATGGCATTCATCATGTAAGGCCTTGTTGACCCCTTTTGCCATTGGTTTTGGGTAGGCAGAACCAGGGGGCATGACACAGGGGTGACATGAACCCAGAAACCCTAGGCTCTGGGACCCACAGGTCTAGGTCACTTCCTGACTCTCCCACTCATTAGCAGTGTGGCCTTGGGGGAGTTATTTGACTCTTTACCTGT